GTCCCACGTGTGACCATTCCTTCCTTCCACTCTGGAAAAAGGACGTTGGTCTTACCTGAACGTCTATTTTCTGAGGGGAGGAGGGAATGGTCACAACCCGCCCTGAGTTCTGTCAGTTGGGGCCAAGGGGAGGGCCTCGGGGGGTTCCCGGGGTTTGTTGTGTTGTTGTTTTCTTGTCTTTCAGTTGTACCGTTCATGTTCGAGAATCTGGGCTAACAGTGGACAGGCACCAGTATTTATAGATTTCCTCTCAGTCTTGGACCAATCAGGCTGTGATAAAACCCACGTGTGACCATTCCCTCCTCCCCTCAGAAAATAGGTAAGACCAACGTCCTTTTGCCTTGATGCCCCGCTTATTGATCACTGAGAAGGTTTCCTCACAGCTCAGCCTCCATCTTGGTGCCACACAACTGCTGAAGCAGGCTGAAGCTGGATCAAGGTGACCCAAGAGAAACATATTGCTATCTATGGAAAGTGGAAAAAATACTCACACGTTAACCTTCTGGAGTACATGAGGAGTAGCCATCAGAAGCTCCAAATTGGACCACTAAAGGACTGCCACCTTCTATTTAATTGGAGGACACTGAATAGTTATACTGTGGCTGCCTGTTGGGCTGATACTTCATCAGTGCAGCCTGTTTCTGGGTTTGTTTTGTTTCACTCATGGGAATCTTATGGAAGACTACCATGTCTACTAAGAGGTCAAGATTCCCATCAGCACCCAAATCAAATGGCTTCTCGGGACCTGGCTGGGAGGAGGAAAAAAGGAAAGCTAGACAATGAAGGTGGGTGGAGAGAAGCTATTTGCAAGGGGAAAGGGTTGGGATCCAGCCAAGATGTTTATCACTTTGTCAATAATTTCACCTTTTCCTTATTGGAAAGAGATGCAAAGATTTTGGAGCTCTTATGGCAGAAGCCTTTTAAGGTGAATTGGTAAGTGGAAAGATGGCAGTGGAGATGGAAGATGACTAGCAGAGAATGTGCTCTTGTGGGCAGAGACAATTTCCACTCCTGCTGTGCAAGTGGGGAATTTAAATGGGCGGGGGGTGGGTGGAGGAAGGTTGCATACAGAAGAACTAAATGTTCCCCATTACTTTCTAGGCAGGCAGCAATGCTACTTGAGTCATCCTTGAGGACAACCATTTTTACAGGCACATGCTTCTCTCCTCTCTCAATATTTTTTGTATGTAGATGAACCCTTTCATTCTGAAATTATCAAAATGGATATGGTTCAGCAGATAAGCACTTAAGCTTGATGGTTTTTATTCAGGTTTTGGGCTGATAGTTATCTTCTCAGGGCTATGTAGTTCAGGAAGATAGAATACATTTATAAATCATATGTTCTAGAATCCGAATGTAATCCTTTGTGTGGCATAAGTGCTATTGCTTTATTCAACTGAATGGAACTTGTTTTGGAGGGAACGCGCAAAGCATCTGCTTGTAGCCCATTAATCCCTCATTCATTCATTCTAAATCCAAATAAAATTGTGATTGGTTTACATCAAAATGCCTTGCATTTTATATCATTTTTGCTACAACCCACTTTTGTCCTTCATATCTTCCTTTATCTGCATAGCCCTGGGCCACATGGTCTTTCTGCCTCACTTTACCCTATGTAAAATGGGGATAACAGTCACCTACCTTAGAGAGCAATTCCAGACCTGAAATGCCAGTTGTGAGCTGTCTGTTCATGTCATGAATAGCTAAGTATGTACTGCATTTATTAATGCCTGAAGGGGGAGATTTTAAAGTGGGCTTCTCCAGCCTCACTCTGCTGTCACTGAAAATAGATGCAAATGCTATTTTTAAAAAAATCCTGGGTTGTTCTACAGGCGCGATTAACAAATTCATATTGGTGTCCATTGCTATTATTTTTCCTGTTCCATTGTCTTTACTAAGCAGGATGCATTATACATGAGGTTTGTGAAACTTTCAAAAGGAATATTTATCTAGAAAAATAAAATGTTGCTTGAAAACACACAGCAGAGTAGCTAAGTGAGCAGTTCTTCAAGCTAATTCTTTCTCCATCCTGTCTGTTTTGTGTTTGTCTGTCTGTCTGTCTGTCTGTCTGTCTCTCACTCACTTACTCACTCTCTCTCTCTCTCTCTCTCTCTCTCTCTCTGTCTATCACTGGAACTGGAACTGGAACTGGAACTGGAACTGGAGCAGATTCAGCAAAGGAAGCCCCAGCTTCTTGAAAACAATGATGGGTCGAAGGATTCAGACAGCTCTGCAGGCCGGCGAGGCAGCTTAAACAGGAAGCACGAAAGGTGGAAGAATCACCTGGATAATCCTGGCATGCTGGTTGCCAAAGTGGTGAGGGCCGTCACAGTGAAGCATGAACCAAGCCTCAAGCTGCCAGTCTACTTGGATACTTCCAGTCGAAGGAACCGGACGCAGCTTAGAAGGGATGCCCAACTGGCCATGTTCCAGCACGGAGACACCGGCAGTGTGGAAGGGGCCCCACAGCCTACCGAGAACAACTTCACTCCCAAGTGTGAAATCACAGGCAAAGATGCACTGTCTGCATTAGCCAGAGCTAGCAGTAAGCAGTGCCAGCAGGAGATTGCCAATGTGGTGTGCCTGCACCAAGCTGGAAACCTGATGCCACGGTCAGTACCCCGGCAGTGCCAGCTCTCAGGTGAGAATGGAAGAACCTTGGGAAATTGTCCCCCATGAACTGAGGGATACTGTTGAGAGAGTGAGATCCTTGAATCAGGGATGATCCTCCTTTGCATGTGCACAATTTAGGAGTGCAGTTGCTTAGGCCCATTTGCTGACACCTGAAGTCATTTCTCTGCCAACCCACCGTCCTGTCCCAGCCTTGCTTCACATTCACCTCCTCCTGCCCAGTCCTTCCCTTGGAGGCAGATCTCTTGCGTTCAGAACATCTGCTGTGCCACAGAGCTGTGGCCACCAACATAATAACCTGTGACAGACACCTTGATTAAAGGAGGCACAGACAGTCCAATTAAGGCTGTTCTGTTGACTAAATGAATCTTACTTGTAATGAGGTTCACTGATATTACTTCAGCATCTGAGAGGTTGCCAACTAGCCAAGTGGAGAGAAAAGGAATAAGGGGTAGTCTGGATGTCACAAGATTTTTAATCAGGAAAGCTTCTCTTTCTGAGGCAGCCCTCAATTTATAGCCATTCATTTAGTGACTATTCAAAGTTAAAACAGCACTGAAAAAAGTGACAGTTTTTTACACGTAGAACCATTGCAGCATTCCCATGGTCACACGATCAAAATTCGGACACTTGGTAACTGGTTCGTATTTATGATGGTTGTAGTGTCCCATGGTCATGTGATCACTTTTGCAACCTTCTGACAAGCAAAGTCAATGGGAAATCCAGATTCACTCAACAACTGTGTCAGTAACAACTGTAGTGACACACTTAAGAACTGTGATTAAAAAAAGGTCATAAAATGGGGAAAACTCACTTCACTCACCTTGCTTAACAACAGAAATATTGGGCTCATTTGTGGTCATAAGTTGAGGACTCCCTCTGGCGGTATGTGAAGAAAAGCAGTGATGCGATGGCTTATGACAGGATTACATGCTTTCACATAAACACAAACACACACTTGCTGCTTTTTCTGCCACCTCATCTATCATGCTTCTGGAAAAAGGGACAGACAGACCCTAAGGAATTACTTGCAGAGGAATTTGAAATTAGGTTGAAGATTTTCCATCTCTACTACGAACAGTTCAGATATCAGTAATCCTCAAGATGTGTAGCAGCAGAGATGAATCTGAAGGGTGAGAGATGGGAATTCTTAAACCCAGAAATCTCTGCCCTACTTTGAACAGAATAAGAATACTCTACTTTACACCACACTACACTCAGGGGTGGAATTGAAAAAATTTAGCAACCAGTTCTCTGCCTCCGGGGGAGGGGGGGGCTGTGCTTACCTGGCATGACGAATAGGACATGTGGAAATTCCTGAGAAGGGAGGGGCCTGCAGGTCCTTGCAACAACCAGTTTGATGAACCAGATGCAAAGTTAGCAACCGGTTAACCCGAAACTGAGCAAACCGACTGAATCCCACCCCTGATTACACTACAATACACTACAATATAATAGAGTATAGTACAATACAATACAATACAACAATACAATACAACATAACAAAACAATGCAACAAAACAATACAACAAAACAATGCAACAATACAATGCAATACAATTCTTTATTGACCAATTGTAATAGAGCACACAAGGAATTTGTCTCTGGTCATAAACATAGTTACTATCAACCATAAGTTACAAACAGCAATTGATAAATCATAAGAAACCTATAGGAGATGCTGAGCAGGTAAGAAATGAGACAGTGCTGTGGGAATTAAGTGTTCAGCAGAGTGTTCTTTCTGCCTGGTTGTTTTGGCATTCGATGCTCTATAGTGGCATCCTAAGGGGAGAAGTAGAAGTTGAAGTCAAGATCTCAACTTCAGCCCTAGCACCATTGCTTCCACTCAAAAATGTTGCCTCACGCTGTTCCCTAAAGTGCAATTGTCCCTGCAATCCAGCATGCCCCAGGAATGGCTTACTATGTTCTCTTTCTGTTGACAGAGCTTTCCAGCCTACTCAAGGCTGTTCCAGATCGCACAAGATCTTAGTTGTTGAAGTGGCTTTGGAGAATGCTGTGCAGTCTCAAAACTACACCAGAACACCCCCCATTCTCACATGGTTTTTGGAGGCTCCAGAGTTATGCAAGAACACATCCCTTTCCCATACCTTCCAAAGGGTCCAAAGATTGCACGAGGGCACACCACATTCTGGCACAGCTTCCGAAAATTGCACAAGAATAGGGCATGCTTTCAAGAGAAGTTATTTCAGGGATTGGTTAAACACTGGTGTGTCATCCAAAACATCTTTTCGTGCTAGATTTGACACACAATTTATAAGTTCACTATCACTGGCCTAGGTGCATGACTGGCAAACACAAATGTAAAAAGATGGAAGACAAGGAATGGAATAAGTTAAATGCATTTTGTGGCCACCTTCTGGTAAAGAAGGTACTTGCCTGAGGAAATCACTCTTCTCCTATGACAGTTGGATCGAAAGTACAAAGAATAATTAAAAAAAAAACTTTATGAAGAGCAAAGGGAAATATAAACCTCTCTTTTTAACTTTATGCAGTTAAACATTCTGTGGCCAAAGAGATAAAAATAGATAGCTGCTAAAAATAAAGATGGGAATTGCCCATAAAAAGCTGTCACAACAGATATAAAATTGGGAGAGATCCAAAGTGTAAAGGGCTCTGCTACTCAAAGAGCCCAGGGTATAATAACTGCCTTGCACAGACAGAGTAATCCTCGGAGACAGGACAGTAGTTATCATAGGCAAAGACTGCAACAAGCATACACTTTACAGTAAATCAAAGATCCAATCACAGATTCTTGGCAAAAATATTTAGCAATACCAGCTTCGAGACAAATGGAGTTCCCGAACGGAAGGATTATTCTTTGCTTCCCTGGAGTTTTGCCCCAGTTGAAACATTTAATTAGGGTCTCATAAGCATTATTTCCATTTAGCTCCTTTCTTCTGGCCTTGCTATGCTTCTCCTTTCGCCTTTTGTTTTCCCATGTTCTATTAGAAGAAATGTTTTCTGGAGTTTCTGAGCAAGAGCGTATCATTCTCAGAAAGACGCTGCTTGGCCACCTGCGGTGATGGGGATTTCCTCCTCCTACCAGCTAGATAGAGAGGAGTAATGGTGCATTGAGAATATAGCCTTTGCTCACCTCTCTTGGGCTTTTTAGCACAGCACAAGCTTTCCAGCAGCTAAAATAGGAAGTTGCCCATTTGTATTGTGTTGTTCCTTACCGCGTGTGTGGATCAGGAGAAGTGTGGCTTGAATTCTAAAGGTTACTTAGCCTAAGGAACTTGTTCAGTGGCTCCCCTCTTTTTTTCCCATTCAGACTATACTGATCCTAGATGTGATCTTTTTTTTTAAATCACTGCAGGGAAGGTTAGTCCTGTGATCCAATGGGATGAGAGCAAAATGGTCCAAGCCTCTGTGGACAAGCCAGTTCGAATTGCATACATGCTTGTGGTTCACGGGAGAGCCATCCGCCAGTTGAAGCGCCTCATTAAGGCTGTGTATCACCAGCAGCATTTCTTTTACATACATGTGGATAAGGTAAGGCATGTAGCATTTTAAGAGGGGACTGGTGGCATGATATGAGCCATGGTCACAAATCTCTTGATACGATGCTACCCAAAGCATTGGTCTGTCAACTTCTATCCTCTGCTGTACTGGCTACAGAGATCTCATTTCCTATGTATATGCGCTTTAGACAGTGCAAAAGAAGGGGGGATATTTGCTTACCCACATCTTTCTGACATGAACAGTCAAGATTTTATTATGAATAAGTGAATGGTTAGATAAAGCAGACCTCGTGGTTCTACTCTCTTCTGGAATGATGGACACAAAATCCCAATCTATCAGCCACAAGCAGGGTGGGTTGGCACTGAGAATATCCAGGGGCAGCTGAGGTCCACTTTTGTCCCTTAATGTCTTCCTCACAGACCCCTTTTAAAAAAGAAAACCAATTGGACTCTGTTTCCAAAAGGAAAACTTTCTTTTATAATGAACTAGCCGATAACCCGTCATTGCCCGGATATTTATTTATAGGGGGGGAAATGTACCGACCAAATGTAATTTCTAATGTTGGATTTTCCCCCTTACCAGAGGGAGCCACCTTGTGGAATACACGAAGTCGTTACCATGGCATTGCACTGTAAAGTAGAAGCCATTTTACTGCAGTACAGTAGAAGCCATTTAAAGGCACAAAAGGCTGCATCTTAACAGAACACACCCCCCAAGGGGTTTTAGGGCTGTCTTACCCCCACAGTATTTTTCTCCAGAGAGTAAGTTATCTGTGTACCAAGTTTGGTTGAAATTGCTCGAGGCGATTTGATTAAAGCCAGAAGCTACAGTCTTCATTTTGGGTCACTGAGAGAGTTAGTACAATTCCTCAATGATATGTACTGGTAGTCCTTCTGTACACAGATGAAACCAACTTTTATTATCAGTGTTAAGTTTTGCCTTCATCTTCACTTGGTTCCCTATGTTGTCTTGAAATCCCCAGAACTCTGTTGCAAAAATCAATGGAAATATGCTCATATGAACAAAATAATTTATCTCTGGGATGCTGGGCATGTTTATTTCAAGGCATCCCAAAGGATGTATTTTTAACCCTAACCTGTTTTCTTGTATATATATTTACATTAATTCCGTAGAGTTTTTCATCAGCCTTGCTCAGAACACATAAGATTGGACCTCAAGTAGAAATGTGGAGCTCCTTCTTTTTAATATTATGAAATATAGTCAAGAGGAAATGATTTTCCCCTCTTTAATTATCTGCAAATATCAGAGAATTTAGGGAAGTGGAAGAATTTGTGGTCCTTATGGAAATCCACAAACACTTAACTGGCTAGTAAGCTCAGTCAACATTGCTAGGCCTCTTGAGGGGGAGAATGGAATTGAGGGCTCCTCATACAAGCAGCACACAGAGAAGTGCATCTGTTTGGTCTGCAGGACATCATGTAGCCTCCTTCATAGAGAAAGCTAAAAGGTGGATGTAGGTGCTCTACCTGTCATCTAGGTCAATGTTTCTCAACCTCAGCAATCATCATGCTGGCTGGGGAATTCTGGGAGTTGAAGTCCACACATCTTTAATGAGGTTAAAAATACTGATCTAGACAGTTGTATGCATGGGTTTCTCTTTTCAAAAGGAAAATCATGGAAGCCTCAACTAGCTCTCTTACTACTACTCTCAGTAAAACAGTTCAAATGCTGGTTAACCATTTTGGCTAAACTTCCAAGACATCTTGTGGTGCATGTTGATATAAAACACTAATTTAAATATACACGTTTACAGCAAGGCATGCATTAAAATAACAAAACCCAGAGTTTTGGATAAATACACTTTCATGATTTGCTTCCTGGTAATGACTTTTTGAAGGGACGCGATGGCTCAATGGCTAAGATGCTGAGCTTGTCGATCAGAAAGGTCAGCAGTTTGGTAGTTCAAATCCCTAGCGCCGCGTAACGCAGTGAGCTCCCATTACTTGTCTCAGCTTCTGCTAACTTAGCAGTTCAAAAGTATGAAAAAATGCAAGAAGAAAAAATAGGGACCAGTTTGGTGGCAAGGTAACAGCATTCCGTGCACCTTCAGCATTTAGTCATGACCAGGGAGACGTCTTTGGACAGCGCTGGCTCTTCGGCTTTGAATGAGATGAGCCCCACCCCCTAGAGTGAGAAATGACTAGCACATATGTGCGAGGGGAACCTTTACCTTAATCATTGTTTGATTTGGACACAGAGAAAACCTTTGGGGAAAGCAAGACAAATCCTAAGATTTAATGCATAATCAGTGGGAGTCTTGCGCTTCAGATGGTTTAGAGTACCACTATTTACCATGCTGTTCAAGTTAATTAGGTTAATTAACCTAATTAATTAGGTTAATTACAGTGGCAGGACTGCAAAGCTTGAAAGGGTAAAGCAGTGATGAGGGCAGTGCAGGAAGTAGCTATTTGCATAGTTAGCAGACCAGCACCTTTGAAACAAAGGATAAATATAAAGTCTTGTGAAAATTATCAGAAATTCTATCTTGTTCCAGTAGAGGTGGGATATATATATATGGATGGATGGATAGATAGAGAGATAGGGAGGTAAGAGATAGATATAGAGAGATTGTCAATGTATTGCTAACTTTATTTTTAATGTGAAAGACAAGCATCTGAGAGTCAACCTATTCTCCAAAGCACCTGAGGGCAGGACAAGAAGCAATGAGTGGAAACTAATCAAGGCAAGAACCAACCTAGAACTAAGGAGAAATTTCCTGACAGTGAGAACAATTAATCAGTGGAACAACTTGCCTCCAGAGGTTGTGGGTGCTCCATCACTGGAGGCTTTCAGGAAGAGACTGGCCAACCATTTGTCTGAAATGGTACAGGGTTTCCTGCTTGAACAGGGGGTTGGACTAGAAGACCTCTAAGGTCCCTTCCAACTTTCTTATTCTGCATCTTGCAAATGAAATCTGACATGTGAAATTTCTGCCAAAGCCAGCATTTCTGTATTTATTTCTACCCATCCATCCATTCATGACTTCAATCACTCAGGTAACTCTAGGCAACTTACATAAACAGGATTACAAGCAACTATCAGAATAAGAAAAATATAAAAATCAAAAACTCCAGACTTTATACCTATCTGGGGAAAAATAAGTGCAATGGTTAAAACAATAAAATAAATTACAATACCAGGGAGGTAAGTCTCTGTGCCACACCCCAGAACTTGCTGGAGCTTCCTTACACATTTGCACTACCACTACTGTCACCTGACTCTTCCTAGGAAAGAAGGAGTCAAAAGGAGTGGGGTGATCTTCATGGTATCCTAAGCTCTGGCATTCAATTTCCTCTCCCCTGCAGCGTTCTACATACCTGCACCGTGAAGTGATGAATCTGGCCCAGCATTACCCTAACATCTTGGTTACCCCTTGGCGCATGGTCACAATCTGGGGTGGGGCCAGCTTGCTGAAGATGTACCTGTGCAGCATGAAGGACCTGCTGGAGGTGACAGATTGGGCCTGGGACTATTTCATCAATTTGAGCGCCACTGACTACCCCACCAGGTAGGTGGGGAGAAGGAAAAAGTCTAGCAGGCAGCAGAGGGTTCTGCTGCTGACCTGTGAACATTGAAATCGTATGAGACAAGCTGGGATGGTTTGAATGGAAGGGATCAGGGGGTTCTCCTTCTCCCCACCCATCCCAGTTTAATGCAGAAATGCAGGTAGGAAAATAAGAGGGAACTTCAGAGTACCAAGAGGCCATAGCATCTCAGAAGTTTTGGTGTTGAGTGACTGGAGTTAGAACTCAAGAACCTTCTTGGATGAGAAGTGAAACATTTTGTAAGAAAAAAAAATCAAAGTCCAGTTGCCTTTTGGAAAAGGACCTTTGGGATTATCATGATTTGGGAATTGAGAATCTCCGTAGACATGAGTGATTTGGTCCTGGTTTTTTTGCCAAAGCCACTCAATAACTAGATAACTGTTTTTTGGAAGATACAGGAGACAAGGAAAATGACTACTGTGTTTCCCCAAAAATAAGACATGGTCTTATTTTCTTTTGACCCCCGAAATAAGCACTTGGCCTTATTTTCTTATTATTTTTGAGGTGCAAGAGGCGGTGAGCGTGGTCACCTCAGGGCTTCTGTGTTGCAATATTTTTGGGGAGGGCTTATTTTCTGGGGAGGGCTTATTTTAGCGGATTCACTTAAAAGCCTGATTGGGTTTATTATCCAGAGAGGGCTTATTTTTGGGGAAACAGTACTAAAAGGAAAGTTGGGAAACATACTGGCTGTGGTTAATTGGAAATCGGCATAGATGAGAACATATTAATTTTGCTCTGTTTGCATCTATTCTCTGCCTGCTCTTCCTTGTTTCTTTCTTGTCTCCCATCCATCTTTTTCTTTTGCTTTCTTGTCCTCAAGATCAGCCTTAATCTGATTCTTCTCAGAGTATGACAGTCGTGCAGAAACCTTTGTAAAAGAAATTGGGGATAGAAGCTGTGCCATCATACTAGGAAGGTTTCACACATTTGGAGGACACCCAAATTGGAAAGAATTGCCTTAAAGTTTAGGCTTGTTTACTATGCATTTGATAGGTGCAAATTCTCCTTTTCCGAAGAATTGTTCTATAACCTCAAAAACATTTCCCCTTTAAATAAATTTGTTATAGCATTTGTCTATCCAGGAACCAGTTCATGTCCCTGATAAACTGCTTGGAGCTGCATTTCCTCTTCTATTGTTGAAAATATTAATAATGATTTCCTTAATTTAATGATTTCTAATCTGTGTGCAAGTGTATAAACAAGATTCTTTGAGAGCCGAGGTGGCGCAGTGGTTAAATGCAGCACTGCAGGCTACTTCAGCTGACTGCAGTTCTGCAGTTCGGCTGTTCAAATCTCACTGGCTCA